ATTCAAAAAAATTCACAGAATTTTCTCTCGTCGCATTAATTACAATTAAATAAATTTGTTTAATCCCAAAATTTCTGGCACCGCGATAATTGGGTAATTATTTTCAACAGCAATTGACTGATTCCCTCATTTTTTTCATTCTCCGTCACGTGTTCGGTGAGAATAATTTTCCCTGGGATAATTATTAATCGGAAACCGCTCATGATGTTCCTCACTCCACGTATGTAATTTGAAAAACGATAATTAATTAAAAACTCCTCCCAGTGCGAAGGGATTAATTTTTCAGTGACAGATATTTTAAAATACAGCATCAGCATAAAAATATCGGGCTCTCGTGCATAGGAGATTAAAGAGCCAGTGCTTCTTACAACCCGAAGTCGATGATATACACATTACATTCATGCACTCGCCAGTATGATACCTATGTACCCCCATTATAAATACATGTACATTGGTTTGCCCAGTGTAATTACGCATGACGTCGCGCGGACGAATGTATTTACGATATATATTCTACCCTTTTTAATCTCTCGAACAACACGCGCCTCTCCCACGCTCATTCCTCTCACGTCATCCTGAGATGTTGGAAATTTCCAGAAAATTTCCCCACAATATCATAAAAATTCCCCTTTTACCCGTTTAAATTCCACACCAACTGAAAACGTTTCGCTGAATTTCTTATTTTTCTCAATTTTATAATTCCAAGAAATTTGTGTTCAAATGATATCTTAATTATTTAATAAACGGAAAATTTTGCCGGTTTTATTGATTTTTGATACGTCAAGATTAACATAACTGACGGTTATCCAAAAATTTGGGATTTTTTTTTTGGAATAAATTAGTGAGGAAAGTCGAGCTGTGAGGAATCGTCTGATCGCTGATAATTGATTGATAAATTAAATACGAGAGTTTAATCCCAACGGCTTCATCCCGCTTCAGTGCATCATTTCAACACACGTCCCTTTTTATTAATCATTGTATTTCCATGTTCACTTCCACCGTGAAAAAAGTAACGGGATAAATTCCAAAGAACGTGTGATGATGGAATACCGTAAAATATCGCTCGGCCCCTCGATAAATAATCAGTTATTGGATCACTCTATTAAGATTTTGGCAGAATGTAATTGAGAACTCAGGGAATATACTCTGATTCGTACCTTCAATTACGCAATTATTCATGAAGACTCTCACTTAAAAGGAAAATTTTTTCCTCTCAAGACAAATTCCCGAATTAAAATTAATTTGTACAGAACCAGAACAGAACCAGAATAATTAATAAATCCGAACTAATAATTTATTTATAACATAAAGATTGCCGAAGATAATTAATTTCAACAATGATTATTAAATGAAAAAATTTCAAACAACTTCTTCTAATTTTTTTCTATTCTTCTATTTCATGAATGACTGATTTGCATTAAAATATTCCAACAAATACTACAACAAAAAAAAAATCACAATTACCACTAATTGCTGCTAATTACTGGAATAATAAGTTTATTATGAATATTGATTAGCAAATTTGTTGAGTCGCGTGGAAATGAGGGGAATAATTTGAAATTTCGAGGAAGAATGAAAAATATAAAAAATGAATTTCCGGGTTGAAATAAGACCGGTAGTGATTCTCGTAACGAACGGTAGCGCGAAACATAAGAGAGAGGAAAGCGCGAGATGAGAAAACGAGATGAGAAACACGAAGCTGCACAGGAAAGAGCCATTTCCTTTTGTTTATTTGGGTATAAAGCCAGCATTTTAAACACTGACAGGATAATTGCGCATTACTGTCACTTGTCCCCTATCAAACTGTCTTTCTCTAGTTTTTTAAACGACCTTGACGCGCCCTTGATGCACGAGCTCCACAATTTTCTCCTCGACAATTCCTAGTGTGACATAAATAAACTAAAAATCCCGATATATCCTGTAATCCCATTTTTTACGTAATTTTTTCATAATCCGGGGTGAATAAATTATACGTGAAAATTGATCGATCGGTTGGTATTTGTTGTCGATTTTGAAAGTATCTGGAATTGATTGCACGACCTTCGGTGTATCGTGGGCACAGATATATTTATGTCTCTGACAAATTGCCCGTGAATAATCCAATTTCGGAGTTTGATGAAATGGCAAATTGAACTTGACCTTCATTCGTAGAGAAATCAAAATTTTTTTAATGCTGTTCGATTAAACCACTCGTCAATTCAACCGTGAAGATCGAAATCAATTCATCAAGTCGACAAGAACGTTCTCCGGCTGTTACAGTAGCTTGTAATCCGGAATGTACTTTTAGTGGCTGCTATTATCGTTTTTTAGAATCGAGGATTTTTTTTTTATTTTCATTTTTTGTGATAACTCAATGTGCTGAGTAATCCAGGCAGTTTATAATAACGAGATTTTTCATTAATAATGGGGAAATGAATATTTTTTTGCTGATCGTGTTTACACACTCATGTGGAACTTGGGATTAATATTGTTGAGAATAATAAGAAATATTTTCTGATGAAATATCTATCAGTGTTTCTATTGAATGATAAATTAAATCATTCTTTCCATATTTTCATTAAAAAATCAATTTGACTCCCAAAATTTTACGATTTTTTGAATATTCGATTTTTTTTTATTTCCAATAAAAAAATTGAAAATAATTATCATGAAACAGTCAGATGAGGAAATTTTCATGAGTTCATTGGAGTCCCATGAATTAATTATCCAAGTCATTAAGAAATTGATTCCCCTATTGGACTTTTCGTTTCAATTTCCGTACGATCAATCCACCTGAGAAAAACTGCCCTTTTACTTGAAAAAAATATTTGAAATAAAAAAATGCACAAACGTGCCCGCTATCAATTAGGTAGGGTATCCACACGACATTCATTACGTACCCCACCATAAGTATTTCGCAAGTTGCAAGTCGATTTATGGGCCGAGCACGCCGGATCGAGTCCCTCGGAGATGGAATTATCGTTCGGCCATCTCGAGTCGCTCTCTCAGCATTACCCAGGTTGTACATACACACCACTCCAATAAGTACATACGGTATTAACGTACACTGCATTAGAGTATTACGTGTCGAAAAAAACGGATACGCGGTAAAAAGATATGACCAGGTGAATTAAATCCACTTGGTCTTAAATAATATTTCATTGACGCGCGTCCTTTCCTCATTCTTATCGCATTCCTTATCTGCTGAAAATATTATTCACATTTACTTCAAATCTAAAAAAAAAATTGCATTCGCCATTTTGAAATTAAAAAATCACTCAAATCAATAATTAAATCATTAATTCTTCAATTGAAATTGCAGATAAATCTTTGAGATTTTGGTGAGAGTAGATTTAGTGGATTTATTTATTTATTGATTTGGCAGAAATAATTGTTTCACGTAATTGAGTATCTCATTATTGGGCACATGCCTGCGGACATTGACATTTTTCCGCACGCCCTCGCGCACCTATAAATCCAAGTCATCGAGGAGTCAGGATTGAGGTGTGTAAAAGTCATGTGGGCTGAAGAGACGCGAAGGTGTTAACGGACCCACCCAATCCTAATCATTCCTCCTAATGATTATCCTCCGTTTTTCCTGTCGGGCCCTGATAAGGGGACCGACATTCTTTTTGTGTTTATTTACCTATTGACCCAAATTGAGTCACTTCCAATTGTGAAGGCATCCTAGTTCCATCAAATTTCAAATTAATCCTCAGAAATTAATCGAAATCTGTTTTTTTTTAATATTTTTTGTTCTACTCATGTCTCAGAAATTCATTATCTAAAAAAAAAATTAATGAAAAATCGGATTTTGGAAGAATCGCCGAGGTCAAAATAAAAAAAATTTTTCGAATTCTAATTTTCGAATTTCCTAGGTGTTCAACGATTTCATCGTCATCTACGGGGTGAACACCCCTGGGATCACCCCCCAGTCACAGCAAAAATTCGATTTTCAAAAAATCCCCCTCTCCCAGCCCCGCGAAATAGCGGGCTAGTCTGAAAAATAAAAAAATCCAGGGAAAACGAGTCTCTCCGAAAGCTCGAGGAGAGTTCCCCCCAGGTTCAGGACATCTCCATCCTAACGGGACTGGAACTCTAGCTGCAGTGGCTGTAGCGGATGTCCCGGGAGATGATAGCGGAGTGGGGAACGCACTAGAGCCAGAGCGAGAGAAACGATTGAAACGAAAAAAAAAATGAGAGATAAAAAAAAAACGTCAGGGCGTATGTAGGTCTCGCTCGGTGATTGGCTACGTGGAGCGGGTAGACCTCGTATAGACCGAGATCGGTATGAAAACGCATGGGGCTTCACCTGTTGTATCGCCTCGTGCAGCACCGGAACCTCAGCCCCTCTCTTGCCCTCTTCTATTTCCATCGGTCCTACAAGGGGGCGCCCACACGGAATTTCTCGGTTCGATGGAGCCCCCCGTTCCCGCCGTCACGTGTCCACCCGCGAACAAGTTTGCCCCCCACGGGTGTCGATGGACTCCACAACCGTTCAACCCCACCACCGACCAACAGATTCATTCTGATTTCTCTCCTTTGTCCTCTTGCTTACTTTTTTTACCCCCATTCGTATTGCTTAGATTCACTGATGGGTACATTTTTTTTTTTTTAAGTCCCCAAGTCTCGAAATCTGTCTTGTGTGCTAAGTACTGTGGGACTTTGGACTTTAATATTTTCTTAATCCAAGACTTGGATTTTTCTGAATCGATTTAATTAGGACTTAGAACTCGAAATGTTCTCAAGGATTAAGCACTTTTGGACTTTGGACTTGGAATTTTTCCAGCAATTTTTTATTCCTTCATATTAGAGGCTTATTAATTGTAAATACTAAATTTATAGATCATACGATAAAAAAGAGTAGTTCAAGTACAAGTTACGAAATTATTCGTATGACTAGAGATTAATTTTGTATGCTTTTTTTTGGGGGGGGAAATAATTTATTGTTGGTTACGGGATAATCGATGAATCTAATATTCAAAATTTTTGGATGGAGAAATCATAATTTCTCGAGAATTTATTTGACAGCATTAGACTAAATTGTCGGTTGTCTTCCGCTGATAACGGAATATATAAACCAACTAATCTATCTGATGGTTGAACCAAACAGTCAGGATGCAGGTAAGAATAACCCCGTATTAACGCACGTGTTTAATGCACTCCATCAATTTTATTCCTCAAATCACTGAGAAGTGATCGCTCAAAATTGCCTTATAAAGGAAGAAAATAACATCCTCGATTTCTAAGTGCATATCATTCCGCAAACATGAGATTATCCAATTAAATCTATTTTCCTAAAAGGAATCTTCAGTTCAGTAGGAGCAGACGTCGAAGAAAGTGTTCCCATTAGACGGTTAACGCCCAAATTGACTTGAACATGTAACAATTTAATGTGACAAAGTTCAGAATCAAATAATTAAGTCAATCTAATTATATCCGGCGAATTAATGAGTCAATACTGATCGACGATATGATAATTTCAGAAAAGTTGTTGCCATTTTCTACTCGATAAAACCGCAGAAGTGTTGGGAATTCTCGGATGACAGGAGATGAGTGTCGGATTGATTGAAACTGAATATGATCCATCCACTTGGTTGTCTTCATCCAGAGATCCACTGGAACATGGACCCTGAAACCCAAAACCGAACGGCAATCGAGGTTCGTTTCCACATCAGACTTCTTGATCTCAATACCAGTGAATACCTGAAAAAAAAAGCCAAAAACAAAAATCCCATTTTTCAGAAATACATTATTTTCCAAATGCACGACTAAACCCATTATTTTTTCAACCAAGACCTCCACCTTCCAACGCTGCCCCCCAAAAAAAAAATCCCACCCAATCAATAATTCTCCAGATCAATCATGGGCACCAAAAATTTCCCCCCCCCTAAAAAAAAATCCGTCAGAGTTCGACCAACTCACCGAGAACCCATGCTATCCCCTCATTGACATCACCACAGCATCGAGTTCACTTACCATCCATCTCCCTGGCCGTCCTTGATGTATCCGGTCCCCCACCCCCATAACCGCCGAACCCCCGACAATCCCCCGAAACTGAAAAGATCAACCTCTTCACATGCACAAAGCCAGAGCAAAATAAAAAACATACATTCAATTCTCTTGTTCTCCGTCCTCTGTGCGCATGCGTTGTCGATCCCCACACGGGGGCCAGAGACCCAGGGAGTGGGGAGTACCAGGAGCGTTGGGGCTGGCGGGGAAGGGGGGGGGGCTGGAAAACGGGGAGTTAACGGCGAGATACCGGAGAGGTGGGGGCAGAGGGGAATTGGGTGGTCGGAGGGGGCCGCGGGTGGTGCGATCGGGGGGAACCTGCGCGGTGAAGGGGGGCGGAAGAGCGGTAAGGGGCCTGGTGGGGGAGGGGTAAAAGGGGGGAGAATGGAAGTACCGCTATACCTGGCAAGTCGCCGCGGGCTAAATACATACCTACCTACCTAGCTAGCCGGGGCGGGCTGTGCGCGCGCGCGTTTTCTCGTGCTTCTCTCACTCAAGAGACTCACTCGTTGCGCGCGCTGCTAAAATCCAACATTTCAACCGGAAAAAAAAAAAAAAACAAGCCAAGTCCATCCATTTCTCCAGAAAATATCCGGGGATAAACGTGGAAAATCCCTCACGTGTTCCCCTTTTCGCTCGTATATCCCCCTCCCCACCTCGCAACACCACCGCCCCCCGCAGGCCCCCTCTACCGGTGGACACCACCATTTTGTATCGCGAATCTTCCCGGTGTTGGAGATTTATTTTTCGAGCCAGTGGCCACCGCCGCCTCGACACGAAACAATCCTGTTGATATTTGTTTGAGTGATTTTTTGGAGGGTGAGTTCATTCGAGTCAGTGAGTGCCAGTGGATTTTAATGTATTTGTGATTTAATCCGTGGTAACGGGGTAAACATTACGGGTCTTTTCAAGTGAAATTGGTTTTTTTAAAGTGGAGAACCGGCGAAAAAAAAAAAATTTCCAACGATACGGATCGCTGCGCCCCTCTTCCAACTACGTGAAACAGAAACTTGACTCTTCAAGCGTGCGCACGTTTGTGGCACTTGGTTAAATGTCAAACGACTCTTGCATGTACCTGGGATTAGAGGTTTTTTACAAATTGTTTATTTGGTATAGTTATTTTTTTGTGGATGAGGTACGGGGAACTGAGGGGTTTTGTGAGCGTGCAGTGAAGTTGTGAGTGAGGATTTTATTTTAACGAGGGGTAAAACGGAAAATCCAGTGATTGGAGTTGATGTTTGTTATCGGATTGAGTTGAGGATTGAGGTACTTTTTGATGTGTCAACATCTGTTGTGGTGAGGCTGGGGGCAGGTACGTGGCGCCACGGGGGACAGACGAGATGATCAACCGAAATTAAAATTTTCAATCTTCCGTATTTCACTTGTTCATTCGGTTTTATTTTCTAACCTCGGTTACGCATTGTGCCTTTTGGATTTCTCCGTGTGGAACGCAGGGCTTTGTATGGATGTGATGAGTGTCGAGGGACTTATTTTTTATTACGGTGAAATTTTGGAAATCGTGGATTTTTAATCCCGAGGTTGAGGTGTGAAATTCATGTGGTGTTGGTGTCGTTGGAGATAGCTGGAAGATTTTGAGGGACTGGAGCCGGAATTTATCATCGTCGGAGGCCATTTGGGTGAGAGAATTATTTTATTATCATTATTATTTTAATAAGATTCTATTTTTGAGGGGGTGGGGTGGGTGGGAGACAATGGGTGTTGGTGCACGAAGGAACCGTTAGAAACGTGACACACGTGGCATTCCTGACATGTCCCTGCCTCTAGGATTTTTCTTTTTTTTTTTTACTTATTTTCAGGTATTGTTCGAATTTTGTGGGAGTCCGGATATCTTGGTCGGGGGGGAATCATTTTCCAACAGGATGCCGATCGTTTTGGTACTCGGGCTTGAATTTTTCGGGGGGCCCCGGTTGTCAGGTGGAATTAAAATGGGGGATAGAAAAACAAACCATACCGGTATCTGGGGACGTTGATCCCAGATCGCTAGTTTTGATTTTTCCATTCTCGAACGCACACGAGTACTGTGCCACTTTCACAATATTTTCGCTACGGATTTAAACCGCGATCGGTGGGAATTTTTATGGGAAAAATCGAGAGATTTTTTGGGGTGAAAAGCGAAAAAATCGGTATTTTCTCACCAAAATTCGGGATAAAAATCCAATTGTCTCGGCATTTACCAAATACCATGAGAAATTCGGTTCATTCGAAAGCCGGAAAAATTTCCAATACCTCACACTCGTTCTTAACCGATTTACCGATTTTCGATTGAATAAAAAAAAAATCGAATTACAAGAATTCAATGTAAAAGAAAAATTCCACGAATTACGGTATTTTCATATCTAATTCCTTTTTTGTTTCCCGCGTAGTCCAATTTGTCGCTTATCAATTATGAAAATCAAAGGATTTTCATGAATGTCTAATCTCCGCCTCATTAAGACGCGATTATCTGACGATCAGCGAGAGATAACGTAATTCAAATTGCTTCATTATCATGCAGGAAAATATCAATTAAATCGTTGAAGCCATTGTCCCCCAATTGTTTTAGGGGACTAGAGGATTTTTTTTTCGAGAAATTAATGATTCAACACGAGATCACTGGGAATAATTCGAATTAATCCCGTAGTATTTTTCCAAGAAAGTATTATTTTCATTCCCCTCTTTTGTTGTCGAGGTATTCAGGTGGATGACACAGAGTGAATTATCGACTAGTAGAGATTAATAATGTATGAGGAGGGATCAGTACCTGTCTCGTGATTTTTGTCGTGACACAGGTGCAGATTTGAGACGTGTAAGTCCCGAGATTATCCGAATTACTGGTCTGATTTGAATTTATCGCGTGATGCAACATCGAGGATTCCGAAGTTAACCGAGGGTGAACCTGTGAACACCCGGAACTCAATTATTGTTGAGCTGAATATAAAAAAAAATACCACTTGCCAATTCCAATTGGACTGTTAGGTCGGAGTCAATTGAAATATTAATGGAGAATTCATAGCGCGTGCGGTGCAGGTCTTGAAAAATCGGTGATCGTTTATAAAAGAAAATCATAACTGTTAATTCAAATGAAAATCTCACATCAACGGAATTTTTCCATTCTCAGGCTCGAGTGTTATTTCAATCGGTAAAAATGTTTCGATTTCTATTTTAACGTTTCAAAGAATTTTGGAATAGCTGGACCTGTGGAGATGGTCTGGTGGTGAGATCGGTGGGAAGAGAAGTAGAAATATTTTTATAACACAAAGGGTCCACCTGACACGGCAACCTGATCAGTCATTGACCCCATTCGGAGGATCTTTAAAGGGCTGAAGACTCGGGAGCCCATGAAAAGAGGCAAAAAAGGGCCTAGAAAACCGGAACCCTCCGGCCCCTTCTTCGTCGGTCATTTGTCTCGGGTTATAGCACCAACAGCCTTGGCCATTATAAAAGGTTAAACGCCGCATACTAGCCTCTTTATAACCGTTTTATCTCATCTTCTCGGTTTAAAAAAATCTGATTCATCGGCTGATAATATTGTTCACCATTCAATAACCCCATTTATTTCATTATTATCTGATCGATGTGGATAATTTCATTAACATTACACAGAATTTTCGGTAAAACTGAGGAATTTATATTTAATAATAAACTTTATTAAAAAAAAAAATTTCACTGGGCAAAATCGGTATTTAAAAAAAAACCACTGGTAGAAGATTAATTAAAATACATAAAAATGGATGATTATTAATTAAAAAATCAACATGCGCTGGATTTGTTGGTGAAATGTAATTAGTCTGATCGATAGGGATACCGATACCCCTCAATTTTTCGTTAATTGAGTCGCCGCGAATGTGAGAATATCGATATTAATGTTTATTAACATTGGATAAATTAATTCGGGCTGAGCATGAATGAGGCTGATGTGGGTAATGAAGAAAACACGTGGCTCATTTGTGGTGAAAGCACTAATTTTTAGGGTTCAATCAGAATACTTCATCTTTAGTATGCAACGACCATGAAGATCATAAAAATGAAATCAAATACCGAGCAATTACCTGGGCTCCCAATTAACTCCCCCAATTTACTATAATAATTTATAATTAGGTATTCCTACGACTCCCTCGATCTCGAACAAAGGAGATACCTATTACAAATATTTTTTTTTAATATATATAATTCCAAAAATACTCCAGGACGCAATAATAATAATTCCCAACCGAATTACATTTTGCGAGAATTTTTATTCGAGGATAATTGTTGCGGATTGTAGGAAATAATTATGAATAGAAATATTCTCTTTGAATTTTTTTCTCCGGGTGAATTGGATAAATTGGGGAAATGATTTTTTTTTTTATTTAATATTAATTTATTGGGGGGTAAATCTGGAATTGTGACAATTAGATGTCATAAATCTCGCAAGACTCAAGTTTTCAAGTGAAGGTCGTGGCTTTTATTTTTATATCCCACTTTCTCAGGGGTATGTATGTCTCGGCAATTATGTCGTCGCTGAAACGAGATCAATCGATCTCCCGTCGCTGAACAATTTTTTTCGCGTTGCGTAATTGGAGAACAGCCGATTAAATTTGGAAACAATTTACATTTTATCTGTCTATCTGTCGCCCAAAATTTCTCCATAAATCTCGTTAAACGAGAATTTTTACTGTTTTATACGCGTACAACAAATGGAAAATAACAAATTTCATTGCAAAAATATAATTTTCACCCCAGGGCAATCTCATTAAGAGATGTAGATTAACTAGATATTGACCAACTTGTCAATCGATACTACGACGTAATGAATTTTTTTCTGTGGCCATTGCATGGAGGGCTCATTCATTATTATTATTAAATATTCATTTTTTTAAATATTCTAAACATTTTTTATCACCGTACAGAATATAATTATCATTTTCATCGTCAATAAATATTAACCGCAATAACAAGATGTAAAAAAAATTCCACACGAATTTATCATCGTTACTAATAATAATAATAATAATAATAATAATAATAATAATAATAATAATAATAATAATAATAATAAATGATCTCTCCATTTTTTTACAATTAAAAATCCATTTAAGATGGACATTTTCAAATCTTCAATAATTAGTAATAATAATTAGTAAAATAATTAATTCAATGAAGAAAGAAATTAAATTAGTATACATCACAATTGATTTGAAACGACATATATTTCTAATCTGAAAAAAAAATCCCCAGATCTCAGTAATTTCGGTGATTTCGAATTTTCTCAATTGTCCAGTTAATTTTTTAAACATTCCTATCCCCGAGATGGACACGAATTGTTGTGAATTTAGCCTGCACTGCGGGAAGGCTCGTTAAGTATTACTTGCACGCGGAAGTTTTTGCCGGCGCGTGATACAAGCCGTGCAGAAAAAAAAACCGCGGCGAATAAAAAAAAATATGAAAAAACATAAAAAAAAGCGCATGAAAGGGGGGAAAAAAGGAGCCATGAGGGAGAGAAATACCAAAAGCCATGAGAACAGAACAAGACGACGAGATATTCAGTAATACGTATGCAGACTCGTGAAACTGTTGCCTCGTAATTATTTCCGCTCTCCCCCTCCTCTCATCGCTGATCGGCGAAAATATTGCATCGCAAGCTGACAAATGTGATTTTAATGTTAATCGATGGTGAATCCGGGGATGTACATCTAAAGTCGTTAGCATAATGTATCGTACATATCCCTCGATCTCGGAATAATATTGTGAAGAAAGTTATTTTTTCCAGGGGATTGTGAATTATTTGATTGACGTGGGATTACTGTTTTAAGATTCCTCGCAAATGTTTCAATGCTTAGAGTTTTAAAAATGAAAAACAATTTTTACTGACGGCTTTCATCATTTTTCAATAATTCCTCAATTATTTTAAAATAGCTTTCTAAAAAATAATCATTACTGATTATTATTCCAAATAATAAGACTTTATTAATCACGAACATTTGATTATTTGGCTGATTATTTTTCGATGATTAATAATAAATGAAAAATCCTCGAAGAATACTCCGTCAATTATCAAATGAGTAATTTCCATCATTACCATCCGCTGCAATTGCAATTAGATATCTTTTAATGGAGCTTCCGGAAAATCGATTTTAATAACGAGAAAATTCGCGGAATATAAATTAGGCGGGAGCAATAATCCAAAATAAATCGAAAGTGTTAATTGAAGTTGTTGCTCACACCCCATGAGCAGCTCGCGGTAAAAATTGGAATTCCGCGTGTCCATCATCCGTGACCGTGATGCGGCATTAATTACCGACGTATTCGACATATCCCAGTGCAACAACAGTAAAAAAACAACAACATGCAGGACTATCTCGCAATTTTCAATATGCCATCGGGTGTAACGGGGTCATGCCCGCATAAGTATCACCTTATTATCGGTACACCGCAAATTCGCCGGATGAATTGGCAACGAAATTCGTTATCACTCCGAATTGATCGAAACCGCGAAAACAATTAAAATTTTTGAATTCCAAAATTTTGAATGAAAATGATATTTTCCCTGAATATTTAAT